AAAAATTAGACTTGTTTAGCTTCACCAAGACCTCAGGTGGATGGATAATGTTTGAGCCCAGACAAAAAGCCACTCCAACAAAGTGATACATCACTGGGCTACAGTTAACCCTATAGCTGATCTTATCACTAGCACCAAAAGTAAAGCCTTTTATTCAAGGTGCAATCTCACAAGATGATTACCAAAGCGATTACCTAATGCAATATTTCTAATCTGTGAAAATAGAGCATGGAGTGGAATTCCTGCTAGCCCACATAGAGCACCCTGTTACCTTGGAAAATTTACTTTGTTCCATCCAAATTTACACCAATTGCTGAATATAGCTGGTAAAATAACAAACATCAAATGGTCGAAACAAAGCCTGAATGAATTACAATGTCATGATGTTAGAGACCCAGACTTTTAGGGTCATGGTATAATATAGCTAGCCTCCTTTTTACTCCAGGAGCAGCTGCTGCTAAAAATCTTGTCAACTCTAAAAAAGCTAGCTTGTTGGACCAGGAAAGAACTGAACTTAACATCAACAATGTTAAGTGAACTTTCAGCTGATGTGAGTGGTGTACATCAGGCTGTATTGGAAAATCAAGCTGCAACTGATTTCTTGCTCTTAGCACAAGGACATGGTTGTGGAGTTTGAAGGTGTGTGTTGTTTGAATCTTACTGATCATTCAGTTTCAACCCATAAACAGCTAAAACAGCTACAGAATGAGTTACATGCCCTGAAAGAAGATAGTGACCCCATTAGAAGTTGGTTAGCCAACTGGGGCATTACTGGATGGTTAAAGTATCTTGTGCTGGAAGGGGGATGAATTTTACTTATGATGCTAAACGGGATAGTTGTTTTAAGCTGTATGTTATCTTGTATCTGTAGAAGTGTAGAACGAATCGCATCTAAAGCCTGGCTTGTGCAAAAAGAAAAAAGAGGAATTGTAGAGAAACATTTTAATAGAGTAAAAGCATGATATTTTAGTAAAAGCCTGTCTGCACAAGCCAGCCTTTAATCCAAGCGACAATATTAAAGGCAGTGTCTCTGAAACTCTCCTAGAGCAGCAAGAATAAAGAAAAACAATAGCCTTGTATTGAGAAAAGAATGTAAAACAATATGTATTAACCAAAAGTAAGTTGCTAAGCCCACAGACACTGTCGGACCATATAAAAATGTGCTAAAGATAGAAACAAATGACATTCACCATACTTCTGTGCAGACCCGGCTGAATAGTCTGAGTGGTTTTTCAAGAAATCAGAGTTAAGAGAGCGAAGTTCTTGTTACAATACATTATATCTTTTTCTATAGTGAATATTCTAATACCCAGTAACCAACCACTATATGACACACATCCTATATAATTTACATATAGCTTATAGGAACTACTACATTACCATACAGTGTTACATTTTAAACTCTAAAAGCTACTTTTCAAATTCTTCTCTTGCTGCTTTTGACCTTTGGATTCACTGTCAGCAGGAGGGTATTGTTTCATCAACAGGGATTCTTCTTCAGCTGGCTAGGCCATTATTCTTTGGTTATATAGTAACTAGCACTCAGTTTCCTATAGCTCAAAGCTAGTTTTCATTTCTATTTCAATTCTAGGCTTCACATTTTCAGAATCTTTTGCTAAACAATCACATTCATAAGGTTTCCCTGTTTCATCCTCCCCAACAATATAGGAGAGACACCAGGCAAGGACTATGCCCTGGATGGCAGCAAGCAGATCAGAATCACAAGTGCCTTCAGGTATGCCATCGGTGGTTTAATCACCATTCAGAGCACAAAACACAAATTTTCTGACAAAAGAGACTTTGATATGCAGAGTTCACACTAAAGATTGTGTAAAGCAAGGTTCGCATATTTTTTATATGGAATTTAGAAAGTTTAATAGAAAGACAATTAGGAGATAGAAATAAAATAAAATATACAAATACAACTGGGTGTCTCTGCATTCAGCCAAGAGAGCACACCTTACTAACAAAGGATTGTCCCTTAAAAACAGAACCCTATTACATATTCGTAAGTTCTCATACATAACTCAAACATTTCTCTTAAGTTTCCGATGTTTCTTTGTTTAGTTTTAATTTTCCCCCTCCCAAATAGATCAATCTTCTCAGCTCCATTCAGTCTCACACTCTCCGATTAACAGAGGTGCAATAAATTCCTCCCCGGAACACAGGTCACTGCTGTCTTCATCTGGATAAGATAATCTAAGAATGCAGGGGGGTTTCTGACTATCTTTTCAGTCTCTGGGTTATATAAACAAAAGTAGTTTTTGCTTTAATATCATGTTATAGCCTAACATATATACGTATTATACCACTATTTCTAAGTTTCATCAATAACAGAAATAGAAGGAACTATATTAATACAGCAAAGTTTTCTAACCTTATACAGATAACATTCATTTTAGTATTTGTGAAAAGCCAATAATATAATATGCACTTATAACAATATTAAAAAATAAATAAATAAAAAAGAAAATAAGTCAGTCTGTAGAGGCATAAATTACCCAAGGGGAGGTAATAATGAAAGAAACATCCAAGGGAGTCCAGAGTTATAAGTAGGAGGACTGTATAGTACAGCACAGTCTGCAAACCCTGTCCCCAGATTCTGTGCAAATATTTTTGTCTCCTGCTCCTATGAGCATTGGCAACGCTTGAGAAACCAGTTGTAGAATGTACCCAATGACCTGCAGAGACAGCAGTACAGTACGCGCACAGAGCTGTTTTGACATTCTAGATTAAGAAAAAATATATTGTTTTGAATCTGTGAAGGCTGGCAGTCCAGGGTAGGAAAATAAACCAACATCATTTCCAGTTCCTCCCTCTGGCAAACAAATCCAGGATGTGTGGTTTGTCACATGCCCATGGGTTGACATTTTAACAACCCTGAGTCAGATGTTTAGGTGTTTGTCACTGCTTCTGCATGTATCATCTTCCTGCCTGTTTTGCCAGTGATGTTATTGTTATTATTGAAGCTGAAGGAGAGAGCTGGGAATTCAGTGCCTGACAAAGCGGGGAAGCAGAAGGAGTGAATCTTGGGGCTGTACATGCAGGGCTGCACTATCAGGGCAGGAAGAGAGTCTAGTCAGGGGATTTGCTGAGAAGTCATCTAGCAATCCACTCACAGGGCCATGTCTTTGCATCAGAACAGGAAAAATCCTGGCACTTCTATCTGATTTATCATGAGAAATTAAAACCAGGTGTTATCTTAGCTGCCCTGGGAGCAGTCCTGGGGATAAAAACAGCAATTCACAGGATAAGAGGAGTTTGAGATCAGTCTGTTTAAATTGCCAGAATATGTTGGTGGCTTAAGGTGAAACAGGCTAGAAAACTTCCTCCCTTTTGTCCTTGAGAAAGAGGCATCACTTCAGACCCTCAGGACACCTCAGCAACTGCTAAGCTGCAGGCAGTTAGGAAGCAAGGAGGCCAAACACAGGCTTAATATAAAGGTTTAATGCCATGAAACTAGAATTTTCCTTAGGTCTAACCCCTGGGATTCCTTCAATTCAAGCTATTTGCTATGGGACTGCAAAAAATAATGCCTTCCTTCTGACTCACCCCTCTGACCTCCTCTGGCACTACGTGGCAACTATGGGAGAATGTTTACATGTCCTAGGACAGACAGAAATGTGTTGGTGGTGCTTCCTGTACAAACCTTATGTGCACAAACTAATGAGGGCTGGGACACGCTGGCTGCTGACAATTCCCACTGTGGGCTGCTTTATCCTTAGGAGATTTGGGCACACACCTGCTGGAACTGACCATTAACAGGAGGTCACACCACCCCATATTAAATAAAAGTATTTAGTATAAAAAAAGTACCAGTAATTAAAGCTTAGAAAGTAAAGGACCTGCCAGAGTTTTTGCAGACACACTTTGGCCATCCAAAAGTAGGTGTCATGATTCAGGTGAGAAAAATCACACCCCAACACAACTTTTCCTACCCCTGTTCATCCTCAGTCAAAACGTGGGATTAAATTAGGAAATCTGTGTCTTTTTACCTCTGCCTTTGGTGTGGCCATGGAGAATGACCTTAGCATCTGGCTGTTCCACTCATACTCTACTACAACTAAAACAACTGCACAGATAAAAGATCAGCCTTTGCAAAATTCTGCTTTCTCTGGGTAAAGTATGCAAAGAAAAAAAAATTAATACAATACAATACAATTTATTGTTCCTGGGGTAGCAGCAATCGATTTTTGTACTGATTTGAGTATGCTGAGCCATTCATTAATTCCTGCTTTTCTGATCAGTGAATAATTGTGAGTCAATCTACTCCTAGGGGAAAAACCCCAGATATTGTACAGATATTCTATGCGTCAGTTGAGTGACTGGGCTGAAATTGGCTGCTATTTTGGCTTGTTTGCAGACAGTTATCTTTAGCTGCCTGCTGTTTGCAACACACATCTGGTGTGACATAGCACATGGCACACCTTCTGCCACAGAGATGCTACAAACACGCAACAATCCAGATCCATCAGCCACGGGGACGATCCAAGAACAAACTATTTTTATTGCGTTTGTCACATCTCGCAGCCACACAGAGCGCAGGTCACATTCACGTGCACAAGCAGGGGCATTCAGGCCTCATCCGGGGAACCCCGAGCCGTTTCCCCACAGGGCGCTGGTAACAGAGGGCGCAGCAGCGCCGGTGGATGGGGTGCCTCAGTACGGCTGGTGCTGTGTTTATAACCCGAGTCATGTTGCGGAGGGCGGGCAGGGTTCTGCTGCCTTTGAACTTAAAAAAAATAAAAAAAAATTGTTTTAAAATATTTATTTGTTTACGTATTATCGGGCAAATAAATCAATGCACGAACAGAACATGAGTAGCTGGAAAGCGACGCCCCCCTCCTTGCCCCCCCCGCCTCTCCCCGTTCCGGGCAGCTCGGCACCTCCCCATGACGTCTCAGCGGGGTGGGGGGGAGGGGCACCTCCGGGTGACGTCACACCGGCGCTACGTCGGGGGGGCTGCCCGTGACGTCACACAGCGCTGTGTCAGGGCGGCTCCTGCCCGTGACACGGAACGGCCGGAGCTTGGCGGGCGGCTCCGGGCGGAGGTGTTTGCGCAGCGCCGGCCGGAGCGGAGGCAGCCGCAGCAGCAGCCGCAGCCGCTACGAGCGGAGGGACAGCCCGCAGCCATGAAATTCCAGTACAAGGAAGACCACCCATTCGAGTACAGGAAAAAAGAAGGGGAGAAGATCCGGAAGAAATACCCAGACAGAGTCCCCGTGAGTGCGCGCGTCCAGGGCGGCCATGGCTGCGGGCCCGGGCTCGGCCGCCTTTGTTTTCCGTGCCGGCCGTCGGCTGCTGCTCGCTTCATTTTGAAGGCGAAAGAAATTAGTTTAGTACAGATGATTGTGGTCTCGCTGATGTGATTCAAGTCCCCGGCTGCTTTTCTCCTTAGTGCAAAGCTGGGGCTCTTTATGATGCGGGAAGGGCTGCAGCGTGGGTGGGCGGGCGCGGGGTGGAATACACCTTTTTCCCTCGGATCCGCAGTAACTCCAGAGGGGGAACGTTGCTGCTCTTTTTCTGACATGCGTGGGGGTGAGTGGGGAAGGAGCTTACCCTTGTTTCTGTGAAAATGGAGATCAGTGAGTGGGTTAACTGGCTACTCTTTATGCTAAACATGGTCTGCATCCGGGTCATTTCATACGTCCCTGTTATTTTTATTTTACTTCAGTTTGGCTTGTCTTTTCCATATAGCCTTCCTCTTTTCCTTTGCATGAGTAAAAAAAAATGATACTTCTCAATCCTTTTGCATTCCTGTTTAATCATCCTGTGGAGAAAATGTCATTTGGAATGCAAGGTCATCTAGCTAAATTTTGCTTCCTCATTCTTAGGCCCCTTTGGAGTGCCTGTGCAAAACTTCTGGCTTCATAATTCCGAATAATTATTGGGACAGAAAAAAAAAAGACATTATAAATCTAGTTAAGTGTAGAGGATTTTTTTCCTTTTTAAAAAAACATTTTGCAAGTATTTTTTTTTTTCCCACCCCCACGGGAGGTG